TTTAAGAACCAGGTTGTATCCAGTCCCAATTCGTTAGTAAAACACAAGCTTCAGTGTCATATATCAGATGACTATGGAATTTTCAAACAAAAAAGATGACTAGATATGGAAATTAAATAAGACTGACGCAGAAAAAAATAATTCAGGTGCCTCCACAGGGCTTCTTGAGCATTCTGCATGCGGTGATTACAGTCTCTTTCTTGGATTAATAGCACAGACAGATTCCCCGCATGCGTGGAAGAACACCGCTTCTAGTAGATTCAAAAGTCCCGTTTCTTTTCTACGTTCGAACCTGCCGGCTAGCTGCCTTGTCGACATCGCCGGCCACAGAGCCGACCTTGGCATTAGACACGCCGCCGCCCAGAGGAGAACCTTCGAGGAAATCGACGGCGGCCACGCGCTTCCCTCTAATCCTCGTCGACGACGACGAGGACGCCTCCCCTCCCTCGGAGCTTTCCGTTCTCCTCGGCGTCGAGAAGAACCTTCCCGACAACGTCCTGGTGTACCTTAGGAACGATGGCCATCTGCCGGCTCTCTGCGCGCGACGATGCGAGCTCTGCTCCCCGGCAGCGGCGACCATCTCCCTGCGCACGTGCTCCGGCAGCCACAGCGTGAACCGCTCCAGGTCGCGGTCGAGCCGGACTACGGCGAGGGAGTGGCCGGCGGAGTACGACCGGACAAGCTTCGCGGCCTTCGTCCCGGCCGGCCGCGACCCCGACCGCATCGCGCGCCGCTGGGTCCCTATCCGCTGCAGCTCCATCGCCTCCTTCATGCGCTGCTCGGCCTCCTCCTCCGTCACCACGTCGATGACCATGGCCGCTGGTCGCGCGCCGCTGTCTGCTTGGTGGTGGCGTACCACGGTGATTTCGCTGGAGCTGCTGTTGGCTTCCGGCACCGGGGGCTTACTCGCCTCGTCGTCGCTGCCGCCGTCCTTGCTAGGGTCGAGGTTGCGGCGGCAGACCGGGCAGGTGACGTGGCTGGCGAGCCACTCGCCGATGCAGTCCGGGTGGAAGGCGTGGCTGCACTTGGGCAGCAGCCGGAGCCTGTCCTCGTCCTCGAACTCGCTGAGGCACACCGCGCACTCCAGCGGGGGCGCCGCCTTCCTCCCCACGCGCAGCGCCTTGGCCTCCGCGTAGCGCATGGTGGGGAACGCCTCGACCACCTCGGCGGCGAGCCCGCGCGTCGCCGCCCGCCGCTGCTGCCGCCTGGCGATGAAGCTCGAGAAGCCGGCGCCGGGGCCGGAGCCGCGGGAGTCGTCCGGCCGCGGGGCGTGGGGGTACGAGTAGCCGGTGCAGTGGCGGAGGTAGATGATGGAGGCGAGGATGAAGAAGAACACGGCGACGACGGCGGCCAGCAGCGCGACCATGGTCGTGCTGACGCGCATCTCCTGGTCGGCCAAGTCGTTGTCATAGCCCCCCTGCCTCGGCTCCGCCGGCTGCGCGCTACCGGCCGACGCGAGCGCGCACGCCAGGAGTGCGGCGAGCAGCGCGTGTTCCATCTTTCGGGAGCGCGCGCCGGGGGACATGTGGGCGGGCTCCGGGGCTCGTCGTCGCTAGCTCGCCGCGCCTAACTGGGAACCTAGCTAGCTGACTGGCTGCGGATGTTCTCGGCGCGCATGCAGTGTCCGTCAACTGTGGAGTTCGGGCTATATAGAGGCAGAAGCAGAGGAGCCAGCGCGCGTGTTGAAGAAAATTGCACCGTGTTGAGCTCGTCTGCGTGTGGAGAGCCAGGTAGGCGCGTCTGTGCATGCGAGTTGAGCTTGCGGCCGAGGACGTCGCCGTCGCGTGGGTCGCGCCGGGTCAGGCGGGAGGAAGAGGAGAGCCGCGGGCCAGATATGAGTTATCTGGCACTTGGACTGTCGACCATCCAGGTGTTCTTAAGAGCAGCAGGCTGGCAGTTCGGTGTGGACTTTTGGACTCCTCTGAGCGCCACGTACGTGGCAGATCAAGTGGTCGACCAGCGGCAGAGTGCTTGTATCGTATCACATCAACGGTTAACAGCTGTTCCCTACGTAGTAGCATGCCCGGTACGTGCGTGAGAGATTTTTTCTAGAAGGGTGTGGGTAGATCTCAACTGACAAAACATATAAAAAGGAAGAAAGAATTTTTTTTAATTTTTCTTACACAGATCTTCACATAATATCTAATGGATATAGTATCGACTAAGAAGTCTTAGTTGACCGAGATTTAGCAATCTCATTTTTCTAAATACGTGCCTGAGAGTTTTTGACCCTCCTCTTTCTTTCCCTCCATGAGGTTATGATTACCAATTAAGTTGCCATCTATAATACCCATAAAAAAATTGCCATCTATAATCAGAAAAAAAAAAGTTGCCATAGAAGTATCTTAGCGATCATGGGCTCCTCCATATATGCCAAATTCTTCAAGTCGTTGGTTCCTAATAGCCGGTACCGGACTGTTGATTGTTCGCAAAGCAGGGGCCTGCAGCACCCTCCTCGGTGTCCGCTTTGCGATCAAGAGCCCGACAATGCTCCTAAACTGTGTGGTGACTCGATCGGCTTGGTTCCAGATACTTGGATGGTGGCGCCTCGCTCCATGTGTTCCGGATGCGACGTCGGAGATCATAAACTGGTGGACCAACCTTGCTACGGTACAACATGAAAAGAGGGATCTCTAGACAGGGGTGATTCTATGTTCTGGTGCACGTGGACTCATCGCAACAACGTCATCCTCAATGGAGCCCGACCTTCCTCGCATGCCATCATCGACATTGTTCGTCAAGAAGATGAGCAGTGGTTGGGAGCCGGCCTCATTCTAGTATCAAACTGATATCAAATACACCCAACTTCTACAACAACATAATATAAAAACTACTCGAGACATCAAGGATGCACACAACCAAATTACTATATAAAAGAAGAAGACGAAAACCGGCAGAAGCCAAGACGAGACGAATGACTGACTACGGAAAAATGTCTATAACTACAATGTCGTTGGCAACATCCGGACTAGAGTAACTGAGTAAGGTTCCCCAACAACGATGCATCTGGCAAGGGATCGACGCACAAGTGCCCCTCGTCACCGGCTCCGGCCACATACCCATACAAAGGTCTTCACCGAGGAGAGAAAGTTCGACCAATCTCCAAACAATGTATTCAGCAAGGGAGCGTAGACCACTACTATAGGTACAACCAATGAATGTCAGAGTTTCATCTAAGCTTTTCACCTCAAAACTCAAGACTTCGTATCCGAAGAGCAGCAGAGAAAACAAAGTCCGTTGTGTCACTAACTTGCCATGAAGAGATCTTGCTGCAATCCCTCGATTGCTAGAAGGGACATGCACAGACCTAGTGATCTAGAAATTCTCCTGCCTCCAACGACGACGAAGGCACCCGGCAACCACCACACGAAAACCTCGGAACATGATGAAATCCACACATTGCGGATTTGCCAAGACGCGAGATCTACCACCACAGACATCATTGTGTTGAGCACGCCAACACATGCGCCGATGTGGAGCACAGCCCAGCCATCACCGGAACACGACGGATACCCATGATTGACATAACTAGAAGCAAGCCGAAAGGTCGACATTCCGGCGCAAAAAAACACCGCTACAAGTCGGAGTACAACCCAACCCAGTAGCGGTTGAACATGTGGTATGAAGTTCAAGGGTGTCAACCTGTTACTGAATAACAAGGACGTTTCCCTCAACGCCACTTTGACGCGGGGTTCAGCTCAGACGGGGAGCGAGGTGACCCTGCCATGCCATGCCCATGCCCATGCGTACGCACCTACAGCGGTCCGGTCGGCTTGGCTGTGTCCGGCTCCGGTCTACGCGCATGCGTGCTAGTGGCAACGGCCGCGGCCGCGGCCGCGTGGCCAGCCGAGCCGAGACCGCACGAAACGGCAGCCACAGTTTCCATGGCCCCCCTATACGTAGCCGTCCGGGCCACGGGAGGACAAGGACTCCTCTGCCACCGTATGCCACGGCAACACACCGGCCGGGTCCATTCCTGGTGGGGTCCGGCCGGTGCGCGCGAGCAGCCACGGCCGTCCGTTTGGCTCCGCCGTGTATCCCCGACGGCGCCAGGTGTGGTGTTTGAAGGGTGCAAGGCAGCGCCACCGCGCCGGCGCGAGGGTAGGCGCCAAACCGGCAAACAGTCCGCGGCTAAGAGCGCCGACGAGGACCCGAGGGGCGGAGCTTGGTCGACGCGTGCGCATGCAAGCCATGTCTCGATCGGGAGGTTTCTCGGAAGCATCCTCGATCCAGCAGCTGGTGAGTCCCGTTGGGGTCTTTTCTGTCTGGCCGTACCTACGTGCATGGCAGAATCTTTTCCCCAAGTTCAATTAAGTTCTTTGTTGCTTCCGTCGGTCCTCAGCTTGAAACTGATGGCGACATGAACCTTAGCTAGACTCTAGCTAGCTTGGAACGGACGTGCAGCGGCGGCGTTAGGTTGGTTACAGAGAAAGGTTCTCGGATGATGAGACGGCGCTTCAGAGCAACAAAAACTACACGCCAGCAGAGGCGGTCGATGATGCTAATTGAGACGGGGATGATCTGCCGAAACGTGGAAGTCTCGAATCGTTCGGCATGCTAGTTTGTTTGTGTTCTCGAGACGCCAGTGCAGCGAAGGGATACGGACGCCAAGATCACCGGAGAAGGGAGCTGTTTCTCGCTGGAACTTGTTTTGTTCGTCTTGACTCTAATCGTATACCAACTTCAGTCACGTCACGGCCGCCGCGCTCGGTTAGGCTTCCGTCGTTGTTGGCGGGCGGGCGGTGTATTTCCGTTTATTTGCTTCCCATTTGGGCCGGGATCTTTATCGACCACACCAGGCCGTGATGGGGCTGTATGCGCAGCCGCAAAGCCCATGCTGCCTCACGGGCGCTAGGTGGGCTAGATGACGGGCTGGAAAGTCCACTTCTAAACTGCAAATTTGGCACGCCTAAAAAACACTGCAAATTTAGTCCGTGCCTATTGTCGAACTATATGAAACCATTGCACATCATTTCTTACTACTAGTATTTATGCACGTGGAATGCACGTCTTAAAATTAATGGAGTAATTTTGGCAAAACGAAAAAGTTCATATACATGCTAATGGATTCATGGTATTTTTTGTTTTGGTATAAGAATGCTGAATATAAGTATAGTAGAGGTAGATTAGTACGCAAGACCACAATTATGAGACATAGAAGAATTTGAAATTTGTACTTTGTTTTCTGTTATTCCCGTTCTCCTTGCAATCTGCTTGGGCTCATCACATATTTACTTAGTCTGCAACATGGCCCAAGAGGTATCATGTATGGGCCTTCTTATCTGGAGAGGGTGAGGTGATGGTTCCATAACACCGGGGAGACAGATAAGGTCACTGTTCACCGCGAATCCTGCTGCTCCCAGCCATCGGATTTAGCAAACCAACGGTTACAATTGATGCTACATGTCCAATTCAAGATTGATGTACTATATAGTAGTATAGATTAATAAAGAGTTCTCTTTGTAAAAAAAAAACTCGTATGCACTACATGGTTGCCATTACATTTTGATTTCGTGTGCCTCACATGTTATAGACTCAACTTTTTGCCAAAGTATGTCGCAACTCGCAACTGTGGCACCAATATCCTTGACCATGCTATGCTTAAATTTAGTTGTGGCAAAATGAGTGTTCAACCAACCTAGGTCCACGTCTCCATTTCCTCGCCAATAGGACGGGTCGGAATTCATTAAGTTGATGGCCTCGTGACGTGAGAAAAAAAAAGGGATCTACTACCCTATGTGACTGTGCAGACACAGCTATGAATATTGCAGTAGTATATAGCACTGAGAAAGCATTATGAAGATGAACTTCTTTTGTCCTCGTTCTTTTTCTTCTTCTAGAAAACACAAAAGCTACACATCTCGATGCAAAAAAAATCACGGTATAGCTGAGTCCCAGACCTAGCCCCCAAAAGAAAATGCGTAAGTTTGGATCGCTACAGTTGGCAGAACTACCCTCCACCCCGTGATCCCCAAACTGTCACAAATATTGTTGAGCGCCATCATAGACAATGGCATTGCAGTGCTTCTATAGTAGGGGTGCAAATCTGTGTCCCTCAGGGTACTCTCTAACTCTTTTTAGTTCAATCAAATGAGCTACACTTGTTCAATCAAGTAAAATAAAAATGTAAACCCATATTTTTAGAAAACTAGTTCTTTCTTTTACCAAAGAAAATTGAAGAGTAATCCATAGCCATAAGGTACCGTAAGGGTCACTAATTTGCACCTCTATTCGAGAGCGACCAAGCCATCAATTAGATGATCGTCGAGGTACCCTTGTGAATGGAACTAGGGATGCAGCAGACTGTCGTGATCACCCCCAATCAACAAAGATGTCATCTGACTGTGGTGTTCCTTTACTAAAAGTTAGTGACATGATCAACACTGGCCCTGAATGGTTATTGCATGCCGCATGGGATACGGCAGAAGGCTTGCATCTTCATTTCTCGATGCTGTTATGGAGGATCTGGTATATCAGGAATTAAAGTGTGCACTATAATCTTGAACCTCCTATTGAGGTCTCAAG